AAGGGAATCCTTCCGACGAGCTGGTAAAGAAACCAGCTCGTCGGGAGGAACCCCTCCCGACGAGCCGGTGTGACCTCGGCCTAAAGAGGCCGAGGGGATTTAAAAAAAAAAAAATGAAATGAAATGAAAAAAAAAGGGGCCGTCCCATAGGACCCATGCCTGGGTCCTATGGGACGGCGGCGGATCCTTGGCGTGCAGTTCTGCACGCCGGTCTTTCTTTGGCGTGCAGGCGTGCACGCCAATCCCCACCTGGCGTGCGGTTTGGCGTGCGCCAGGGGGGGTGGCGTGCGTTTATCAAGCCCCCAGCACATGGGCAACACGGAGGAAATTTGACATGCCGTGTTAAACTGCTTCGTTCATTTGATCAAGGTCTCAGTCACAAAGGAACTCATCAGAGACAACCAAATGTGCTTGTTGGTAGACGGGTCCCACATTTTGCCGCCATACCTAACCATTATGGAATACATCATTTGTGAACTGAAAACCATCTCAATCTTAGAAGGAGAGGATCCCCCGGCAAAACAACCGGCCGCCAATCAACCTGCCGCCAATCAACCTGCCCGGCAACAAGCTCCAGTAACTGCGCCACAAAAGGATCCAGCAATTGAAGAGTTGACCAAGACTTTAGCAGGATGGAAAGTCCAGAAAGGCCCTGTGATATAAGCCAGCCATGTAGCATACAGAACAGCACAATAAAAGAGACCACCTTCAAGCTTGAAATGCCATTATTGCTTTGGAGAAAAACACACAGTGTATTGATGTAGCTTATACGCACAGGACAAATTTGACAAAAAGGTTTATCATGAAGGGAAGGGCCTCAAACTTCCTAATGGAACTGTAGTACATCCTGACAGATCACGCCCCATAAAAGAGGTTGTGGATAGAAACTGCACACCGTCACAGACTCCGGGAATCATCAGCCTTCCTCCGGGAACTGAAATTAGAAAGGAGTAACCGACAGCAGAAATTCACACTTCTTATGGTAAATTAGAAGAGTGCACCCCTGAAAAACTTAGCTCTTACAATGTTGAAGCTGCCAAACAATTGAGGAGCGGAAAAGAAGTCTCTGAGACTCCGGCCCCAAAGAAAACTCAAAAGGATAACAAAGACTTAATGGATGTCGAGGAAGAGATTACCAAACTGGCACAACAAGACAACCATGTTCTATTCCCAGGGTACAAAGAACATCTAGAAAAAACAGCTGCGGACGTACCAAAGAAAGTTCAGTTCAAGAAACCAGAAGTCACCACGCCAGAGGTAAAGGAAAAAGTACCCAAGAAAACTTACTTAGAAAAGACCTTCTCCAACGAGTTGACCGAAGCTGAGGAATGAGTCATCCTACAAATGGTCTTGGAAGGCAAAATGGAACTCTCTTATGGTGATATTTTTGCAATCTCCAATGGCTTCTCCAAAGCTTTCAAGAACGAGATTTTGCGACGAAAGGTCCCAATCGAAGGCGGCCCACCAGAAAAGGTAACTAACGCCGGAGGAGTGGACTCAGACAACGACGAAGCGGAAGAAACAGAGGCTCCATGCAGGTCCCATTATGCATGCCCGCTGGGCCACATAAAGGTAGGTATAAACAGTAAGGAAGTCTAACCCCTTTTAGACAACAGTTCCATGTTCAATGTACTCCCAAAGGATCTTGCGGTACACCTGGGCCTCATCATTATGGAAAAGAATATGAAACTTAAAGGAAACAGCGGGAACAAGAACAAAATCCTTGGTATAGCCGAGTCCGTACGTGTTAAAATTGGAAATATCTCTCGAAATGTCCACTTCTGGGTATTCACCGGAGACGTGCAATGTCAGCCTCTGGGTAACTAACCTGAGTATTTAATAGTAAAAAGGTTGTTACTATGAGTTGACTGAAGTTTTTGAGCGTGGTGAGTGTTGGGTAGTGGGTGATTAATACCTGTCCTGTAAAGAGGAGGTTTCACTCTATCAGTATGGTCTTTACTGAGAGGCTTGCTATCAACAGCGCATCCGGATCAATACAAGGTATTAATAGGCATCCAGGGTACTAAGACTCACCTGGGATTGATTTAGTTATTCCCCAAAAGGGAATGGGCTAACAATACTTATTAAGCTTTAACAAAATTAGTTGAAGATTAACAGGTATTGTTAATGGGAATATTCAGCAAGGCTATGAATACTGTGGATAAGTTGAGTAAGAGTACTGAAGCTTAAGAACAATAAATGTAGACAAGATTTATGTTGGTTACGTGTACTGTATCAATATAAATGTTAACTGGTTTAACTGGTGTCTGAATATTCTGGGGATTAATCAGTGAAAGAGGCACGGATTATAAGTTCCAGAATATTGAAGGGGGGAAAGAATGAGCGCTCAGAATCAAGGGAGCTTTGGCCAGGAGAATGAGCACATCAATTGAGTGACTGATCATTATTTTTCATGATCTGTAAGTGACATCATAATTGTGTACTAGTTGATCAATGTACTAGTAGCTCTTGATGCGTGTACTTAACAGATCCTCTAATAATGTAGTCATAATTGTGATCAGTGCATGTATTGAATGTATTAATTCTATTGACACTTAATACTTACTATTTAATACATGTACATATTTATTTGTAATAATATTTTACCATGAAAATACTGTAGAACAGGGATAACTTGTGGTACAGGTATTTCACAGACAAAGGAGTGAAAGGTAAGTGATAATTACTTATGTAGAACGCAGGTATGTATTTAATAGATAAGTAATTAACAGATAGGATAAATGTAAGATAAATAAGATAAGTTAATGATAGTGATAAGATAACAAGAGGTAAAGGTAATCAACATTATGGATAAGTACTTATGTACATAAGTACAGGTGTTACAGTTACTTGGTACATGAAAGGTACTGTGACATGTACTCTGTGGCTGACAATCACGACCAAAGACTTCCTTAAAACCTTGAACACATAAACGAGCTTTATATTGTTCCGGCTGATTTGAGACTTCAGGTTTAATTCAACCCAAGTACAATTCAAAGGATGTTCTTCTTTAGTTTTGTTGATTAAATCCCATACCTCATACTCCTTCATATTATCAACTTCACCATCTAAAGCCGTCATCCACTTCGCTTTATTGGGATGTTTGAGAATTTCTTGAAATGATAGAGTATCAGAGTCGACCTCATTCAAGTTTAATTCCGGTACCCCCCTTCGACGATGAGTTAGTATGTTTTCTGAAGAGATATCCCCAATTATTTCCTTTGAAGCAACTCGAGTATCCGGACTAGTCATTTCTTGAGGATATTAATGTCTGTTTCTTCTTCAAGTGCCGGTGTCTCTTGTTCTGGAAATGGTCGAAATTCTTCAGGTTCATCATCTTCATCAACACCATGAATTACATCGAAAGGATTGAAGAAAAAGCTGGACTGATCAATGGACTCATTCGAAAGAGATGGAAAGACTGATTCTTAAAAAGAGATATCTCGACAGATACAAACTGTTTTTGATTCGATCTTCAAGACTCGATAAGATGAAAAGTCATTTGCATAGCCAAGAAAAATTCCTTCCCTCGCTAGTAGGAAGAATTTTCGCCTTTCGATGAACTTCTGGAGTTAAAACGTACGCTAGACAGCCAAATGATCAAAGTTTATCGAGATTCATTTTTCGTCCAAAGAATTCTTCATAAGGGATTTTGAATTCTCGAGTGCTTGACGGTAGCAGATTACATAAATCAGTTGAAGTATGAATTGCTTCAGCCCAGAATCGTGGTGAAAGATTGGCTTGAGCATAGAGACATTTTGCTTTGTCAAGAATCACCCAATTTGACCGTTCAGCCATGCCATTATTTTGAGGAGTATATGGCGGCGAGAAAAATTGAGAGATTCCTTTGATTGAACAGAATTCTTCTAAGAGAATGTTTTTGAATTCTCCTCCATTATCTGAGATAATTCGTTTGACTTTCTTATCGGTTTAATTTTCAGCCCAGATAATCCATTCTTCAAGTTTGCTGAAAGTCTCAGATTTATGTTTAAGAAGTTTGATCGCCTTAAACCCGGTGTGTTGATCTACAATTGTCAAGAAGTACTGACAACCACTAACCGAGCAAGTTTGGAAAGGTCCAACAAGATCCAGTGTCAGCTTGCTACTATGGCAGAGACAACCTGTCATAGCAAAATAAAATAATAAAAGTACATAAAAAATCTAAGAATAAAGTAAAAATATTACATAAGTAAAAGAAACTACTTTACTTATGTAAATAATACAAAAACACTTAAAATATACAAAATAACTTAGAAATTATAAAGAAAAATTTAATTATTATTGCAGATTCTAAATCTACATACAATTTAACCTAGGGTACCTCAGCCAAAGGTACCCCCAATTCTCACTCCTTCACCCTTTAATACAACCTTGAATAATTAACCATTACCTTTAGATCACGGGCCCTGGATAATTATGCATTATGCATAACCAAATGCATATACTCCAAATCTTGTCGCGGATTTGGAGTGTTGTGTAAAGTTTAGAAGATAGTGTAGCGTGGCGTGTACTGTCTCCCGCGTAGTCATGCTGCGCACTGTTGACAGGCGTGCCTGACTACAATTGAGCCCAAGGCTCAAGCCCCCGCGCGTGCTAGGTATGCCTACCCGCCTTGGATACATGCATAACCCCCTCTGGGTTACCAGTATCCAAGGAATTGGGCCACAAAGCCCCAGAAACTCACTGTGCACGTGTCAACAAAGCCTCCACACGTGTAATAAGAATGTGAACAAGCTAGAATATCCATGAAAATACTACAGTAACCATATTCCAGTGGGTAACACGTGTAATAAGCCCCAGAAACCAGTTCTGGCATACTCTGTGGCCCATTTCCAAGGAAATAGCTCCACGTAACAGACTAGCCCCTACCCACAGGTTCCTAAGGGATATTCTTGGTTCAAATAAATTCGTGCATGACCCCTTGGAGCTTCTAGAATATTATCCCCAAGGTTTCAGCCCTTGTTGCGTCACCATGTGGGCTAAAATGGGCCCAAAAGCGCTCCCAAGACCTACTAAGCTCCCCTGAGCAACCCCTGAGGCCTTCCACAGGTATTTAAAGGGCCTTCTGACCGCCCAAATAATTATCCCCCAGCTTTACAATACCTTATAGAAATTTACTTACCATTTACAAGTCTCCTACACTTGTAATTAGCCTAGTTACTACTATAATTGCTGTTATTAAGCCTCAAGAATCCTCAAGAAACTCCCCAGTTATCACCCAGAACCCAAAATCAACCTTTCTGAGCGCTCCCAACTGTCCAGTTTCTACTAAGAAAATCTTCAAGACCCCTTTGGATTATTACTCACTAGTAATAACCCTTTCTTGAAGATTTTCCCCTAAAAATTATCTCCTGGGATTTAAACCACACCTGCTACAGGCCCCAGTCTATCAGGTACCTAAATCCTCTGCTTTTTGCACGATACCTTAGAGGGATTAAACCACCCCTGATTTATCAGGCCCCTCTGGTTTAATTTATATTAATTTTATTAACATAAATTGGCCACTTTTTGGATTTAATCCATAAATTCCACGTAATTCTTTTGAATTACCTGTACCAGTTCTATCCCAGAGTTTTTGCCATAAAAACTCTTACTTTTGCACCTTGTGTAGCTAAAGGACACGTGTCTTGGCATCACATAGGCCGACATCCAGATGGATAGCTTCCAGAACTGAAGAGGTCGAAGCAAATTTTCCTTTAAACGGTTTCTTAACTCCTTTACACATCTTGCAAGTTTCACGATTCTGATCCACTGCGTTTGGAACGAGTTTCTTAAGATAGACAGAGTTAGGATGACCAAGTCTCGAGTGCCAGTCAATGTCTTTCGACGAGGAGAAATACGATGAAGCAGTAGATTTCATTGCAAAGGTATTATCTAATTCAAATAAATTATTATTGATTTTACCGGAAAGTTTGAAACCTTCATCAAAATTGATAATAAAATTATTTTTCTTCTTGGTAATAGTGGCTGAAGAATCAAAAAGTTTGTTCATTGAGATGAGAGATCGATTGAGATCAGGAGTGAAGAGAACATCATCGAGAGTGATCAAGTTTTTAGAGTCATCGATGATTTGAATTTGCCCGGAAGCGACGGCTACAACTCGTTTTTTATGGTTACCGGTATTAATTTCAATATTAACTTCTTTGATTTTCTTGAAGAAAGTATTGTCGTTAACCATATGATGAGAAGCGCCTGAATCAAGAATCGCTGGTTTAGACGCTTCGGAACCAAAATTCAAGTACGCTGAGACTTCAACGTAATTGGATTCCACCTCCTTAACTGAAGTAACGTGACCCGAGGCAGGACGAGCAGCAATACGTTGTTCATCCGTGAGTTTATGACATTTCCACTCCGGATGAACGGCTTTTGGGTTATGTACACCTTTAGAGCACGGATTTGGGTTGACATACTTCTTGGACTCGGTTTTGAATGCCGAAGCTTCTTCTTTAACAATCGATTTCAAAGTGGTCTTAGACGAGGAATCGATACGAGTTTCAGTAACGTACACGAACTCTTGAAGCTTTTTCAAAGTACGATTCGGAAAATGAATGATCGACTCATTCATAAGGATGTTGTCAACGGCATTATACATATCCTTAGATAACTTAGAAAGAATCGAAATCGAGATGAGATCATCTGGAACTCCGAGTTGAAGAGTCGAGAATTGCTGGATAAATTTTCAACAACTCGTTATATATTCCTTGAGATCGCCATTGTAAGTCGATCACATGAATTTCAACCAAACTCGGCCTTTGTTATTCGCCGACTCCGACACATACTGCTCGGTGATTGCAGTCCAAAGCGCACTAGGTTTGTCTCGATTATCTCTCGTGACACAAGCATCGTAAGCGCCGTCTCCGAGATGGCTGATCAAAAGATGAGCGGCCTCGTGCCTCTTAGACTCAGAGGGAATCTCGGATCCTCCAACGAACGACCATAACTTCTTGGCCTTGAGATAGACTTCCATCCGTCCTGACCAAGACTCGTAGTTGTCATTGTCCAACTTAGGAATATTAGTCGCAACCAACTTGGGCTTGTTCTCTTCAGTATCGGACATCCTGTAGTCGGTCTCCTGTTCTTTTGTTATCGAGCTGCCGTACTGATAATGTGAGAAATTTATAGGCTTAAAAGAATATAAATTTCAGTAAAATGAAAATGAAAAAGAATAAAATGAGATAAGAGAAAAAGAAAAGAGTAGTACCTTAAAAGAACAGGAAGTTAGATGAACTACCGACACAGTAAGTACACGATTGACTCTTAAAGAGTATCTTATCAAATAATTCAGGATAAAAAGCTAAGAAAATAAAGTTAGAGCGGTCAACAACTTAATGAATGATAACAATAAGAAATGATAATAAAAATACCTCAAGGCTATAAATCCCTAGCAGATGATCCCTCACACTCGATCGATGCTGAACTTGATGATTGATGAAGAATAGTTGAGTGATGTCGAGTTGTGATAAAGAAGATGAGATGAGGAAAGAGCCCTGTTGACCGTGCCAGATTGATCATGATGTCATGATCACAACACTCCCGATCTGGAGTATTGACAGCACCTGCACCCACTGTGCACACCTAATTCCAACACCTGCACCCACTGTGCACACCCAATTCCAACAAAAACTTTGCAGGCACCCCACCACCCGCGACATTCTCATCTCTGACCTTGGACCATCCAGACATCAAACATCAAAAGAAATTCAAGAACACCGGTGTAAGACTCAAAAAGTGGTTGTAAGACCCTTTTTGCTGAATGGAGAAGGGGATGGTGGAGGTGCAAGCTCTGCCCTTCTATACTATCAGATAACAAGACCCACCAAGCTCAGCTTGGCAAGCTTTAATCAAGTGATAGGGTAAGTTCAGGAATGAGTTTGTGTGATGCTGAGAAATGAGTTTAGTTGTTATTGGTGATTGGTAAGGTTCTGTAAAGGTGGTGTATCCTTGATTGAGTGGTACTAAACTGTGACTGATGAATAATACACTGAGGAGACAACAAC